GTTGTGGTGTACGTTGATGACCTCGTCTTTGCCACTCCTTACAGACATGCGCTGGCCTCCATGAAGGAGGAACTGCAGAGGAGACACACTTGCACTAACTTTGGTGAGCTGCAGCGCTACTTGGCTTGCAGATTACCAGGGACACGGCAGCTCGCGCTGTTACACTGATGCAATCGCATATGGTCGAGCAGATCCTTTCGCGCTTTTGCTTCCCATTCTCCAAGGTACAGCTCACCCCTCTTGCTGTGGATCATGAGCTCACAGCTCCACCTTCGGATGAGTCATTTGAGTCCAGTGATCCATATCTTGAGCTGGTGGGTTGTCTCATATACCTGATAACCTGTACTCGCCCAGACCTAGCTTACCCTCTTAGAGTCCTTGCACGCATTGTTGAACCTGAGAGACACCGAACGTCTTACTGGTATGCTTCTAAGAAGGTGGCAAAGTATGTGGCGAATACATCAGGCATGGGACTTGTCCTTAAAGGGAAGCAGCCAGTTACACTCACATGTCTCTTGAACGCGTCGTGGGCTAACCACGCTGAGTCGATGCGGTCTAATCAGGGTTACTGCTTCCGTCTAGGGACCGGAGCTGTCTCGTGGAGGTCGAATCGAGCGTCGTCAGTCTCCGACTCCAGCTATCACACGCAGGTGTACGTTGCAGCCATGGCCGCCCAGGGCTTCGTTGGCTGTCTTTCCTCGTCACCGACCTTGGTGAGCGGCGTCGCTCTCCCCTAGTCTTGTTTGCTGACAACAGGTCTGCTATCTTGTTGTGCGAGAAGCCCACACTTGTTGGGAAGGCAAAGCACATCCTGCTTCATTACTTCCTTCTGTGCGAGTTGGAGCAGTGTGGCCAGGCCCGTGTGAGACGTGTGGTATCTGAGGCTAACACGGCAGATATTTTAACCAAGACGTTGCCGCCTTGTGACCACCAACATTTCAGCACCCAGCAGGGCCTTGTCTCTATAGGCCATCACCTACTTGTGTAGAGATGCTTTGTCTTGTACTCTTGCATCTCCTTATATTTGCAATATATGTGCTTGTAGATTGGCCTTGTGGCCCCTTGCTTAAGTAGAGATGCTTGTCTTGTTTGTCTTGTACTCTTGCATCTCCTATATCTGCTATATAATTGCATGTGGACTGGCTTTGTAGCCCATTCCTAGCTCTCAGAATGTGTGGTGATGAGCTCCACCTTGAGATTTGCCTTGTTCTTTGGACTGGTCTCGTGACCCTTGATATTACTGACTCATGCTTGGGTTAGAATTAACATTTCCTATAACTTTCTTCTTATATCAATTCATATATTTTCATATCTTCACAGGTGTAGACCCCAATGAGCCTTCGGCGCTAGCTTCCCACCGCGCAGTTGCTCGGGGACCATGAACTGCACCATGCAGCCACACACCTGCGCCAGTGTGAGGTCGGGCTTCTTGCCCGTTAGCATCTGGTGTGGGGCCGTCCCCAGTAGTAGTGACGACCGCTCCAAGCATTTGCACACCCAAACAGCCTCGCGCAGGGCGAGATGCCACCAATGGTGCTGCACGCCCATGTGAAGCAGCATCGTCTGTGCTCATCTCCCTCTCCGCCATGAAGTTCTAGTGCGGAGTGTATGGGCAGGTCAGATCGTGGACGATCCCTTTGCCGTTGACAAAGTTGGTGAAGGCCTTCCCCAGGAACTCGCCTTCGCGGTCAAAGCAAAGCATCATCACCGACTTCTTGGTTTGCCTCTTTACGACCAGCATTTACTGCTCAAACACGTGCAGAATGTCACTCTTCTTGGCGACGGGCCTCATCCACGCGTAGCACGTCTTTTGGTCCTTGAGGAGAAGCGAATAGTAGCTGCCATCCTTGGCGGTCACCCGTAACGGCCCGCACAGGTCGCTGTGTACGACCGCCAGGGCTTCATCCGCATCAGATCCCTTGTCGGAGAAGGTGTGCCGCGCAAGTTTTCCACCTACGCAGGAGACGCACGACAAGCCGGTCCCCATTGACGGCATGATGTCAAGGCCGGTAGCGACTTCGTGCTTTGCTGAGCTCTTGATGGTGTCGACACCAACGTGTGCAAGCCTTGCATGCCACCTGCCCACCGTTAACTTCGTTGCTAATGACGATGAGACGTACGAATTCCTCACATGCCTTGACTCCCTCATTCGTGAAAGGTTCTGTGGCAGTGGCGCGCACATTGCCTGACCCCATCAGTACGGGGACCTATTATGCCAGGCCAAGGCGCGCTCGCTCATTCCCCTACAACACCTCAGGAGGTTGCTGCAGTCTCCCTTGGTTAGCCTCAGTAGGCATGGACATGGTCACAGGTCCGGGACAGGTCGGGTTGGGTCGAGTAAGGGGCGCTTGCCAGAACCCCTTGGATGCTTAGGAAGTTCCCGATGACCGCCCTTAATGACTTCATATGCACCCACATCGCATGGGTGTTGTTCAGGATCCGTCACTTTGAGAACTTACGACGAACTCATTTCTCAACTATACGCAAATCCGCTCGGTAGGAAGTTGCGCCTTAGGCTTAGCTACCATCTCCAAGTTAAATCAGTCGTTAAGATGGTCTAGAGAGTGAGAACCAAGTGAAAAAGTTCAGCAGCCGCATGACTAGAATGGTGGAGGAAGTACAAGCATTAGAGGATAGAGAGTCGGAGTTGGGAACCTCCAAGAGAACCATGAGAGGGAAGGGGTTCTCCAAGAGCGAGGGAAGGATGGTAGGAACCTTCCTAGCAGCAAGGATGCAACCCTCATCATGAGGTCCTTGAGGTGTCACATGCAAAATCCAATCTAGTTGGATTTTGCCTAGGTGTTGCAACATTTGCAACCCATGCTAGAAACTTCTAGCCACCCCAATCCAAAAGTCAAAGTTGCCTTCCCTAACCACCCAACCAAATATCTCTTTATAGTCATGTCCCAAGTAATCAACCAAATTAGATATAACCCCAAAAGGTAATAAGAAATCCAAGTCTTGGAAATCTTGTAAATTGGGCGATATTGGTCGGAATAAGGCGATCTTGGTATCGTTGGAAAGCTCTGGATTTCTCCTACATGATCAAGCAATTATACTTGGAGAAAAACACAGAGATGATAATATCCAACAGCCATGCACAATGACATATGCGCATGCAAATCATGCAAGAACAAATAGCACGAGCACTTGGCAGGACGTTAGGATGACATGCACTCAGAATGATGTGCATCCAACAAACTCCCCCTCAGACTAACGGACTGCATGCACACACACTCACACACATGCAGACTCTCATGCACATAATCACACATGCATTCATGACACTGCCACCCATACTAGTGCAATGCCATGCCACACATTTTAGCACACTTCCAATGTGCGCTCTCGGGAAGTGTCTTGGTGAGAAAATCTGCCGCTTGCTTGGTAGTCTTCACATGGTGAAGCTCAACAATCCCCTCCTTCACCATCTGCCTCACCCAGTGCCACTTAATCTTCATGTGCTTGTTCAGCCCATTCAGGATAGGATTATTGGCCATGCCAATAGCAGCCTCGCTGTCGGAGAAAAGTGGTGTAGGTCCCTCCTGTTCAGCTCCCATGTCCTCCAGCAGCTTCCTCAGGAGCACAATCTCCTTGATGGCATGGTACATCGCCATGTACTCTGCCTCTCCGGAAGACTGAGCAATCTCACTCTGCTTCTTGGACCTCCAGCTCACTGGTCCACCTCCGACCATGTACACAAAGCCGCCAACTGATGACTGATCCTCATCCTCTGAGGCCCACGTAGCGTCGGTGAAGCATGACAGCTTCAAGGTTCCAGGCGTGACCCCATCTGCTCCAATCTGTTTCAGCTGGCCGCGAGCTGAAAACTAAACACCAGCAGATGCCGTTGATCCGAGGTAGCGCACCAAGCGCTTTGCCACCTCTAACTGCTCCTCAGTGGGCCGCTGCACAACTCTGGCCAGCTGCCCCACTGCGAATGAAGCATCAGGTCGTGTATGCACTGCAGCATACATCACACTCCCAATAAGTGACTGGTACTCGTTCTGCAGCTCATCCTTGAGTACATCATCCTCCTCAGCTGCCTTCTTTAGTTTGAAGCCCTCAAGGAACGGTGTCATCACAATGCGACCCCCAGTCACACCATACCGCTCCATGACACCAGAGATGTAGTGTGACTGATGCACCTTGAGCCACCTTCTCTCAACATCCCCCTCAATCTGCAGCCCCAAGTAATAGTGGACATCCCCTAGCATCTTGCACTTGAAGTTGTCCATCAGCAGCTTCTGTGTCCTCTCAATCTGCTCCATGGAAGGTGAGAACAGTAGTATGTCATCGACATACACCAGCAGCAAAAGCAACTGCTCCCCCTCTCCAAGCAGAAACAAGCTGTGATCCGCCTGGGACGTCTTGAAGCCTTCACCCAGCAGCACCTCCTTCAGCTTCTCGTACCAACACCTGGGCGCTTGCTTAAGGCCATAGATGGCCTTCTTAAGCTTGCACACCCGGCTGGTCCCATCCTCATAGCCGTCGGGCTGCGCCATGTAGATATCCTCCAGCAGCACTCCATTGAGGAACGCAGTGAAGATATCAATCCGCTTCACGTGCCATCCCTTCACAACTGCGCCAGCCATCAAAGTCCTCAGTGTCACTGGCTTAGCAATGGGAGCAAAGATCTCCCCAAAGTCGACCTTCTCTTTCTGTTGAAACCCCTTAGCGACCAAACGGCTCTTGAACCGCTCCAACGCACCATCAGCACCACTCTTCACCTTGAAGACCCACTTGCTGCTGATCGGCCGTTGCCCCTCAGGTAACTCAACAAGCTCCCAAGTCCCGTTCTCAATGAGACTGTTGAACTCCGCATCCGTGGCAGCCTTCCACTCCTCCTTCTGGGGTCCACTCAGTGCCTCCTCCAATGTGGCTGGTTCTCCAGGCAGAGGTGTGAACAAATAGAACGCCATCTCTTCATCATCTTCCTCATCCGCCTGAACCGCCAAGGCACCTTGCTTGGGTCCTCCCAAACGGCTATAATTCAGCCTTCAGGGTGCTGCTGCCACTCTCTTCTCGCGGGTTGCAGTCTGCTGCCCATGTGGTGAAGCTCCTCTCTGCACACTCCTCTTGGTGACCTTGGCGTTTGCAGCAGGCTCGGGCTGAGTTGGTGAGTCCACACGTGCCGACTCATCCTCCAACCCCTCCTCTCCAGCAAGACCAGAAACTTGCTGCTCACCACCGCCACTGTGGTCACTGGTCAGCTCTGACCCATGGAGTTCATCAAGGTGCAGCTGTACCTCCTCCACTGCAGACCGCTCAAACTCCTGTAGACGCAAGCCAATCTGCACCTGCAGCTGCTGCTGCCAATCCTTGTACATGACGTCCTCCACAAACTTGACGTCACGACTCACCAGCGTCCTCTTGCTCTTGGGGTCCCACATCAGCCACCCCTTCGAGTCAGGAGCCATCCCTAGATAGAAGCCCACACAGCAGCAACTTCCAGCTTCCTCACCATGGCGCACCCCATGCCCATGACCTTGGCCTTGGCGTCCGTCGCGGACGTGAATGTAGAGATGGTGGCGGGCTGAATCTCATCGAGTAGGTCCGCACGAGGAGTCATGTGCCAAGAGCTCCCGGGGTCAATCACCCAATGGGTGAGGGGGTGTAGGAGAACCTTGGCAGCCATAGCGAGGTCGGTTGCGCCTTCGTTCACGAAGAAGAAGAACCCAGCCTTCCGCTCCTCAGATTTGCCGCCTTTCTCCTCCTCCTTCTCCTCTCCACTAGCTCCCATGACTCCCCCACTCCTCTTGCCACCATGCAGGTTGCTCGATGAAGGCAGGGTCCAATCCTTGGGTCGTTGGTAGCACTTCCGCCAACGATGTCCGCGCTTCTTGCAGTAGAAGCACACCTCCCATTGACCCCCGCCGCCATCCTCCTTAGGGTTGTCCTTGTTTTTGCCCTTCCACTTCTTCTTGAAGCCACTCTTTCCACCTCCAACTCCATAGCCAGCCCCCTCCTCCGAGCGCTCCACACTCTGCCGCGGCAAGTCCTCCTCTAGGATGCGCGCGCGAATGTAATCCACGCTCCATTGGGGTTGTTGGGAGTTGAGGTTGATCGCTAGGGCAGACCACAACTCCGGCAGCCGTATCAAGATCTCGACGCATTGTACGAGCTCCGGGTACACCACACCGCCGCCTTGGAGCTTCGTAAAGATGTCCCGCATCTCATCCAACACCGGTTGCATCGGCTCTCCATCAACGAACTTGATGTCGCGCAGCCGCCGCGCGAGTAGCACGATGCCGGTAGCATGTGTCGGTGAGTGTACATCCAGAAACATCCTCCAAGCCTTGGGCCCACACTCTGGATCACCCAAGAGGTCCTTGATGTGGTCAAGTTGTCGCCCGCCAACCGCTTGCACCATGAGCATGTACGCGTCGAACGAGCGCTTCATCCATGCTCATTTCAGCTCCGTGGCCTCCGGCATTTTCTCCTTCCCCTCCACCAGAGCCAATAGCTTGTATTGGGTGTACATCAGCCTCATGCGGAAGCTCCAGTGCTCGTAGTCCCCCCCCCATGAATTTCTCAATAGAGAAAGCTTTCACAGGATCCACGGTAGTAGGAGATGGTGTAGAAGAAGTAGGTAGCGTAGGGTTGGCTGGTTGGTGAGTCCCCATTCCTCCACCAGCAACTCCCCCCTGCTCTCCAGCCTCTCTACTTCTATCCATCTCACCACTAGCACCTCCGGAGTTCGTACCAACCATATTGAGGCCTTATGAACGGTGAAAACTTGAGAAATCGTTTGGAGAGAATTCTGCCAGAAAATTTCGATTCTACAAAAATCGCCGTCGCGGACTGGATACTTCGAATAAGAACGCGGTTTGACCACCAATCTAAAGTTCGCGAGTACAGCTACTAGAAAATGGTCACACTTGACAACATTGGTTGAAAATTCACAACGACTCGTCGTCTCAAAGTCGACTACCCGCTCTGATACCACTTGTTCAGGATCCGTCACTTTGAGAACTTACGACGAACTCATTTCTCATTGAAACGCAAATCCGCTTGGCAGGAAGTTGCGCCTTAGGCTTAGGTACCATCTCAAAGTTACATCAGTCGTTAAGATGGTCTGGAGAGTGAGAACCAAGTGAAAACGTTCAGCAGCCGCATGACTAGAATGGTGGAGGAAGTACAAGCATTAGAGGATAGAGAGTTGGAGTTGGGAACCTCCAAGAGAACCATGAGAGGGAAGGGGTTCTCCAAGAGCGAGGGAAGGATGGTAGGAACCTTCCTAGCAGCAAGGATGCAACCCTCATCATGAGGTCCTTGAGGTGTCACATGCAAAATCCAATCTAGTTGGATTTTGCCTAGGTGTTGCAACATTTGCAACCCATGCTAGAAACTTCTAGCCACCCCAATCCAAAAGTCAAAGTTGCCTTCCCTAACCACCCAACCAAAGATCCCTTTATAGTCATGTCCCAAGAAAACACCCATATTAGATATAACCCCAAAAGGTAATAAGAAATCCAAGTCTTGGAAATCTTGTAAGTTGGGCGATCTTGGTCGGAATAAGGCGATCTTGGTATCGTTGGAAAGCTCTGGATTTCTCCTGCATGATCAGAAACATACAGAGATGATAAAATCCAACAGCCATGCACAATGACATATGCTCATGCAAATCATGCAAGCACAAATAGCACGAGCACTCAGCAGGACGTTAGGATGACATGCAATCAGAATGATGTGCATCCAACAATGGGTCCCCAATGCTTCTCCGTCGATTAGAGTTTTTGCAGCACATGATCGATCAAGTGGCCAAAGGTGAGAATCGTCTTCACAGTATGTTCTGCAGTGGCCACAGCAAGATCACCCTTGTGGGGAAGAAGTCTGCGTCACTAGCGCAGCAGCTAGACGCCGTCTCTGCATGAGGAGAGAGTGCGAAGCAGCATTCGCAGAAGCTGTGGCAGGAGCTGCGCACCGAGCAAGGGGGAGAGCGCGGTGGGAGAATGACGATCAGATCTTACGTACTCGAGACTGAAAGTGCCGCAACCTAGCAGCAGTTGGCGATATGGGGCACGAGGACGGGTCGTTGCTGTAGCTGCAACTTGAAAATAATGTCTGTTTGTGGCCATTGAAGGATAGTTGGGGCTGATCATAGGACTAATAGTGGATTGAGTTGAAGGTGACGAAGACACTGTCAACGATTCTCCCAACGCGACAATGGCGCGAACGGAAAATCCGGTACGATTTCAAAGATATTTACTAGGAACCGCCATCGATGGATTTTTCATGCTTGAGGAGTGGATCCTTAGAAATGAGTTCGGCACACAAATCCACAAATTAGGGTTTAACACTTATCAGATGTTATTGATATTTAAATGACGAGAATGCGATTCATAATTCCTTTCACACAAGTCCTCTAAGGAACTTTCCCTTTCCTTACCGAGGATGACTAATACACGTACAACCCTGACATTTCGGACTTCGCACGTTCGGCCGGCATCCACGATGCCGAGGCACCCCCGCGCCGCCTACGGTTTTCCGTTCACGAAACTTGCACCCAACATCGTTTTCGAGGTTCACTCATAGCTAGGGTAGTCAGTGTATCAGCACGTGCCTTCATTGTATCTTTAGTCCATTGAGTCCCACTCTCAGTATTTGTTATTCCGAGCACTCTCTTGAACAACTTATAACACATGGTATCAGAGCTACTTTCATCATTCACCCTGCTTTTCAAGAGTAGTGACCAACTGTCTTGTTGGTCTAGTGGATCGGTTGGACCAAGAAGAATGTTGGTCCAATGAACCGGTTGGACAACTGGCCTGTTGGTCCAATGGACCGGTAGGACCAACACACATGTGGTCCGATGGACTGGTTGAACCAACTCACCTATTGGTCCAATGGACAGGTTGGACGAATTGGCTTGTTCATCCTGACGACCGGTTGGACCAAGTGGCCTGTTGGTCCAAAAAACCAGTTGGATCAACAGGCCTTTTGGTCCAATGGACCAGTTGGACCAACTAGCCTGTTGGTCCAATGGACTTGTTGGACCAACTCACCTGTTGGTCTAGTGGACCGGTTGGACAAACGAGCCTGTTGGTCCTGTGGAGCGGTTGGACCAATTGGCTTGTTGATCTAGTGGTCTGGTTGGACTAACTCAACTGTTGGTCCAATTGACCTGTTGAACCAACTAGCCTGTTGGTCCCATGGACCGGTTGGACCAACTAGCCTGTTGGTCCATAGACCGGTTGGACCAACGGTTGTTCCAATGGAGCGGTTGGATAAACAGGCCTGTTGGTCCAATGTACCGGCTGGACCAACTAGACTATTGGTCTAGTGGACTGATTGGACCAACTAGCCTGTTGGTCCATTGGACCAGTTAGACCAGTTGGCGTGTTGGTTTAATGGACCGGTTGGACCAACAAGCATGTTGGAACAATGGACCAGTTGGACCAACTGCATGTTGGTCCAGTGGACCGGTTGGACCAACTGGCCTGTTGGTCTAGTGGACCGGTTGGACAAACTCACCTGTTGGTCTAGTGGACCTGATGGACCAACTGGCGTGTTGGTCCTGCGGAACAGTTGGACTAACAGGCCTATTAATCTTGTGGACCGGTTGGACCTACTCACCTGTTGGTCCAGTGGACCGGTTGGACCAACAAGCCTGTTGGTCCTGTGGACCCTTTGGATCAACTCGCATGTTGGTTAAATGGAAGGGTTGGAACAACTGGCCTATTGGTCTAGTGGAACGGTTGGACCAACTCACCTGTTGGTCCATTGGACCCTTGGACAAGCGGGCATGTTGGTCCAATGAACCGGTTGGACCAACTGGTCTGTTGGTCCAATGGACCGGTTGGACCAGCTTGACTGTTGGTCCTGTGGACCGGTTGGACCAACTCAACTACTGGTTAAATGGACCGGCTAGACCGAATGGCCTGTTGGTCCAGTGAACTAGTTGGACCAACAAGACTATTGGTCATGTCGACCGGTTGGACCAACAAGCCTGTTGGTCCTATTGACAGGTAGGACTGATTGGCCTGTTTGTTCTGTAGACCTGTTGGACGAACTCACCTGTTGGTCCTGTGGATCGGTTGGACCAACAAGCCTGTTGGTCTAATAGACTGGTTTGACCAACTCTCCTATTAGTCCAATGAACTGGTTTGACCAAGTCACCTGTTGGTCTAGTGGACCGGTCGGACCAACAAGCTTGTTGGTCGAGTGGACTGGTTGGACCAACTGGCCTGCTGGTCCAATGGACCGGTTGGACCAACTCACATGTTGGTCCAATGGACCGGTTGGACCAGCTTGACTGTTGGTCCTGTGGACCAGTTGGACCAACTCAACTATTGGTCAAATGGACCGGTTAGACCAAATGGCCTGTTGGTCCAGTGAACTAGTTGGATCAACAAGAATGTTGGTCCTGTGGACCGGTTGGACCAACAAGCCTGTTGGTCCTATTGACAGGTAGGACTGATCGGCGTGTTTGTTCTGTAGACGTGTTGGTCTTGTGGATCGGTTGGACCAACAAGCCTGTTGGTCTAATAGACTAGTTTGACCAAATCTCCTGTTAGTCCAATGATCTGGTTTGACCAAGTCACCTGTTGGTCTAGTGGACCGGTCAGACCAACAAGCTTGTTGGTCGAGTGGACAGGTTGGACCAACTGGCCTGCTGGTCCAATGGACCGGATGGACCAACTCACATGTTGGTCCAATGGACCGGTTGGACCAACTCACATGTTGGTCCAATGGACCGGTTGGACCAGCTTGACTGTTGGTCCTATGGACCAGTTGGACCAACTCAACTATTGGTCAAATGGACCGGTTAGACCAAATGGCCTGTTGGTCCAGTGAACTAGTTGGATCAACAAGAATGTTGGTCCTGTGGACCGGTTGGACCAACAAGCCTGTTGGTCCTATTGACAGGTAGGACTGATCGGCGTGTTTGTTCTGTAGACCTGTTGGTCTTGTGGATCGGTTGGACCAACAAGCCTGTTGGTCTAATAGACTGGTTTGACCAAATCTCCTGTTAGTCCAATGATCTGGTTTGACCAAGTCACCTGTTGGTCTAGTGGACCGGTCAGACCAACAAGCTTGTTGGTCGAGTGGACAGGTTGGACCAACTGGCCTGTTGGTCCAATGGACCGGTTGGACCAACTCACATGTTGGTCCAATGGACCGGTTGGACCAACTCATCTATTGGTGCAATGGACCGGTTTGACCAACAGGCTTGTTCGTCCTGTGGACCGGTTGGACCAAGTGGCATGTTGGTCCAATGGACCGGTTGGACCAACTGGCCTGTTAGTCCAATTGACTGGTTTGACCAACTCACCTATTGGTCTAGTGGACCGGTTGGACCAACAAGCCTGTAGGTCCAGTGAAACGGTTAGACCAACTGGCCTGTTGGTCCAATGGACTTGGTTGGATCAACTCACATGTTGGTCCAATGGACTGGTTGGACCAACTCACCAATTGGTCCAATGGACTGGTTGGACCAACTGGCTTTTCGTCCTGTGGACCGGTTGGACCAAGTGGCCTGTTGGTACAATGGACCGGTTGGACCAACTGACCTATTGGTCTCATGGACTGGTTTAACCAACTCACCTGTTGGTCTAGTGGACAGGTTGGACCAACAAGCCTACTGGTCCCGTGGAACGGTTTGACCAACTGGCCTGTTGGTCCAATGGACTGGTTGGACCAACTCACATGTTGGTCCAATGGACCGGTTGTA